AAATTATATGATCTCTAATTTTAAAACAATACTGTTTTAAAAATAAAGCTCTAACATTCCAAAAATAAGATGTCTGCTACGATAATTTGAAAAGATAATTACTTGAGAAGTTCAATAAAGTCTTAGAAAGAAAGAAGAACGCAAAGAATTGCAACAGAAAGTAATTTAAAAATGTAAAATCTTGGTTTGGACGAGAGAATTTGCTTAGGTCGGGCAGTTCAATTTAGTATGTAAATAACTCTTGCTAGTTAATCGGTGACTACAGCGAGAATTTTTTTTAATAAGTAAATCATTCAATAAACTTGTCTATTAAATAAAACGTCTTTATTAATGCTTGAAATAAAAAAAGAATATTAAAATCACAATTGTCGTAAAAAAAGGTTCTAGTACATTAAATTAAAATAAATTTCGAAATATGTATGTACTAACTTAATTTAAAGGTTTCATTTTAGTTATTTATATTCTAAAATATATATCGAAGTATTTTTTTCGATTATTATAGGAAATGTTAAAACATATTGGAACCGAAAGGGTCGTTTTATGTAATAGTCATAACATTCCTAATATGTACGTAAATTTTTGATGTTGTTAAACGCAATCAACCGTTGCCATAATATCGTTTGAAATAGGTCAGCTCTAAATCGAGTATATTACGAGATTGTACTATCTACAAATTTTAGGCTGCAATGCACTCATTTCAAAAGCTGACTTACAAGACAATAGTTGGATCACCACATAATGCCTTTGTTCGACAGAACAGTGGTCAGAATATAGAAAACGGATTTATTATTTTACTTTTGTATGAAAACTATGAATATATAAGCACTTTTATATTATTTATGAGTGATATGATTTAGAACACTTAAATGTTTTATTTTCGCTAGACATACTCGTGTAAGATTCGCGGGAAAATGTATTTTTATGATTTTAATTTAATACGTGTTTTGGGACTATTACAATGTATAATATTTCTTCACACCGTGATATTCTAAGACTAGATAATGCATTACGTTAGAATTTCAGATGTTTTAATTTATTAGTCTCTCTATACAATACATAGTTTTAAAATTTTCGTGTCCGTTATAATATTCCAAGTTTTATTCATTATTGTTTGGTTTTTAATAAAAATGCTGTTGTAAATTCTAAACATATTTATATTAAATACAACTTTTGTTAAAATAAAAAATATCCAGTACAGTAGTAGTCTTTTCATCAAAAATAAGGTTTGTCATTTCCCATGGGAAATACAAAAGCATAGGACAAGTATAGTTTTATTTATTGAACCTCCTGAAAAAACAAATTTACTTCTCATTGGAATCAAAATAAGGATATCTTGGACTTGATTATATTACAGTACGTCATATACAACAAGAATATATTTACAATATTGATAGATACCCAATGGGAAAAATAATATATAAAATATTATTTTTAGACATTTAATGCTGATGTTTTATTCGCTATATAAATATGACCTTTGAGGCCTAGGGAATTTGTATCTTATGTCTTACTGGCCATTAGACAAATACAACATGTAGAAGAAGGTATAGGCGTTATTAACATAAAAATAGAATATTTACTCGTTAAATAGAATATTTTTTTTAAAGTAACACGTAATAAAAGAAAGATTTATGTAATGTTTCAAAGACAGTTTAATAAGTATTTTAGGAGTCTAAACATCTATTCGACGCTATTTGTGATCCAGATGTTTATCTTGAGTTATGCTAACATGGTTTTTAATGTAGTTTTAGCAAAACAATATATTAAAAAATTAAAAAAAAATAGACTGTAGGAACCCTAATAACTTAAAGAATTAAATATGCCTTAACACAAATGCATATGCCTTAAAACAAATAATCTTTACAGCAAAGCGAAACGGGACTCGAGGAACGAAAAATTCACTGCTGTCTACATACTGAATTTGAGTTCAGGCATGTTGTAAGATCTACACATATTGATAAGAGTATCGATGCGAAGAGGAAGGTAAGTAATTTTGGTCACAGTTTACACATCACTTTACAGGAAATAAAATTATTATCATCCTCGAACTTCCATCTCTTCTCCTTCTCTTAATCCCCAAACTTCTCTATAAATCATAATCAAAAATCAAGTTCCATAGGAATTGGTAGTGAACACTTTTCGAACTTGATGTTCTTGATGAAAAATGTAAACTCAACTCCATACCGGCGACGCGACGTTTAAATTCACAGACTTCCTGAATCGATTGTTACTTGAAGTTTTTTCAACTACAAGTCACTTACTCTTAATTTAATCTTTATCTTAATCGTATTATAAATTATTATGTAACTTTTATTGAGTTCTTATGTAACTTTTATTTATTTACCCAAAAAAGCACAATCTTTTTTTGTCATCCCGACCCTTGTGGGACAGTGAATGCATTGAAAAGATTGTTTAAAGGCTGATTATTATTATAGTCTCGTAATATATACAATTCATCACCAACCTAAAAATTATTTATTATCATTGTGAGTTCCAAAAATTAATATTATAAGAAAAAAATGTTTTAGAGTATATTATAATTAAAAACTACAAATAGTCATAACTTCAAATATACATATATAAAATGCGAAGATATATGGAAATGTAACCAGAAGCTACTAAAATTAACTATCTTAATTAATAAAGTTTACAAATTTGCTATTGTTTACATGTTAACAATGTTCATTTGAAATTTATGTGACAAACTTATTCCTTCACAGGTAATTCGTATGCTGTTTGTAATTATTGCAGAGTTTTTCGTTTGTTGGACACCTCTGCACGTTATCAACACGGTAAGTGAAAAAAATCTATCTGGTAACTGATTTTATTTACTGTATCAAATCATTGCCTTGATTTTATAATAAGAACTTCAAAATATTCTGACGGCGAATTAATGTATTTCATAGTGCCTCGAGTTTCCCTTGAATGCTGTACAATTCTGTAAATGAAGAACATGAGTCACTACATGCATTAACAACCGAAAATAGCAAAAGTTAGTCTGCGGATACGAAACTTGTGATGGCCGGAGTGACGGCGGGGCGGGGCGGTGTGGCGTGGGGCGACGAGACAGCGGTGTCTTGCTTGAGTACGAAACAAACTTCTGCGTAGACGCGCTACGAATTGAATTTTAAGTTTGAATGATAACGAGCTACGTTGTCATTCAAAAATGTTCTACAATTACACAAGAATGAGTATAGAGAAATTCGATTATGTTTTATAGAAAATTAGAAGCAATCTGGCATCTAACATTTTCGGAAACCGTTTAAAATAAACGATATTAACTCTTCATTGTCAATTTTCATAATTTCCGTATTATTACTGTGATAAAAATGCAACACTATTGTACTGGCGCGAGCGGCGAAATTAAAATAGTTTGTTCCCGTCGATCCGCTCCGCCGTCACCCGTTTCGTGCACAGCGCTTACTGTTTTTAACGCATTTGATTCCATCGCCGTCGCGTCGCCCCGCTGTCGCTCCAACCGTCGCTAGTTTCGTACCGGCAGACTTAGAGTGTCCCAAATGACAGATACTACTTGTCCTCACCGCTAATGGCGTATTCATAGTTTGCCATTTATAGCATGACTTGTCTCGGAAATAATACCTCTAAGTTATCCATCGAAATAGTCAAAGAAGACTATTAAGAGTATTTATTAGACACATCGATAAAAATTAAACGAACGAACGTGAACGAATTAGGCATGAATATATACATATGTATTTCTTGAATTGGGTTGAATAGGTTTTCTTGAATTCTTGCTATAGCATATTTTTTATCACCCCCGTAATTTTAGTGGATAAAGTAAAGTAGTACATTATGCTATCGACAAACATTTTGAAAGGTTTTGTATTAAATTATAAAGTTGTAAGTTCTCAATGTTGATTGTTCTCAATTATGAAAAACTTTAATAGCAGCTTTCCTTAAGAAAAGTATCTTATATTTACTTTTTTTGGTTTTGTCTTAAAATGATAAATGAATATTAAAAAAGAAATAAATAAAAAATTATATTATATTTTATTAACATTTTTCGACAGTGAGTGTGGTAACAAAAATATTTTTCTTAATTGGCGCTTTGAATGACGCGTTTCTAATTAGGTCGGTTTAGTCTCACGGTAGCTAGAGCGCAAAATGAAATAACCACAAACGAGCGATCGATAGGTTTTTTCTTGGCTTGACTTGGTCTTACTATTATGTACTACTCAGAACGTACTACTCAGCAGCGCTGGTAATTTCATTTCAAATTTGATTAGGTAGAGAGTCCCCTTAAACCTTCACCTGGGTCACAAGTCCCAGGAACTGTTAAAGCTCCTCTCCCTGTAAGGCGATGTACCTGGCACCCGCATGGTGAATCCAAGAAATGTTGAGAAGTTTCGTCTCGTCTATTAATTATTAATTTAAGATTAATTTTACAGATTTATCTTTTCTACCCCGAGGAGTTGTATCAGTACATCGGTTCAAAGGGCATCGTTTCTTTACAATTACTGGCTTACTGCTCATCCTGCTGTAATCCTATTACGTATTGTTTCATGAATAGAAAATTCAGACAGGCCTTCATAAGCCTTTTTAAGAATTTTAAAATTCTACGGTAAGCATTTATAAGTTTTGAAAAATATAAAAAAGAAAAGTTATTATGGTGGTATAATATTATAACTCTCTAGAAAGGCGATCTTATACCAATAATACGGATTAATTGTTGCTAGTTTTCATATTTGATTTCCAGTTGTTTTAATTACGGTACTTTAATTAATAATAAATTTCTCGATAAAAACGTTTAAATAACAGACCATGTTTTTATTCTTAGCCCTCTAGTGAATACTAATACCAAAGTAACAAAGGATATTCAAAAATTAAACATTATATTTTCTAATTATTCCTATATTATCTCTTTTTATAATGTTGATGATTGATTCGTTCGACAAATAAAGTTAATCAGTATCGCAGGTGCTGCTTTCCTGAAAGTACGGATGGGGGCAAGCAGGTAACTCCTCCGCCATCAAGTCAAGATGCCACTGCCTGTATCATTCGAGGTAGCCAGACTGGACGCACAGGTACAAAAAAAAATATTACTTACCATTCTTAGCATAAAAATCAACTTTGCATTTGCCTTGTTGCAGACCGTACGATATTATTGAATTAAGATACTCTTTGATTTTTTTATTTATTAGCATATGACCTGTTTCGGACCGAAAATTACTCATAATAATGAAATTTAATACTTTCGCAAGTATTCATGTACATTATTCATATTTTCTTCATGATATTGCGTGTGACAATTGAGAAAAATATCAGCTTAAAAACATACACATATGTATAAGACTCCTGGAACTATTCAAGTAGAATGCCCTAACTTTGATGACTTTCATATTCTGATGCAAGGTTAACATCCAAGAATTTTTCAGCTACATTGACCACAAGCGTTGTGCCCTACATGTTCCTATTATCGTTTCATTTGTTGGATTTATTTTGCAAATTATATTAATATTTTGGTTAAGTTAGTGTCACTGAGACCAATCATGTCATAGTTTGAAAAAAGAAGGTAAAAAAGCATAATTAACTCTTATATATAAAGCTTTCAAAAACTAATTTATTGAATTTACAAATATATCGTTCTTCCTACTTCCTATCTTTCTCTTTTAAGGGTACTCCATCCAAGTGTTCTTATTTGCTAATCAAGTTGTGTTATATTGAAGAGCAAAATTTATTACATAGCTCTAAACAAAATATTTCTATCCTTAAAGCATTTGTGGATTAGAGTTTATACTCCATTATTATTAATGGATACGTATGAGAGGCAATATAGAATCCCCGAGGGTATTTGTGCGTCAGCCTCCAGACCAGACATATTTCTGTGTTCGCGAATTTTAAAGCGCGTTGTGCTAATAGATCTTGCTTTTCCTTGAAAAACCAATATTATATCCAAAGAACATGCCATCAAGGTCAAAACAAATAGTCTTATAAAGACATTACAAGAGTTTTCCAATATATTTTACCGTCTCATATAGATTTACTGAAAAATTATAAATGTAATTATAAATTTAAATGTCATTATGTGTTATTTTATAAGTTTTTAAATTCATTATATTTAAATAAATTGTTAAAAAAATTAAAAAGGCACGAATGTTATGCTAACTAAAACGTTATTATCTAATGTAGTATGTACTCGTATTATTTATAGCTCTCGCGGATTTACTTAGGCAAATTTGTTTAAATGTGTAAAAAGAGCAGAATTAATTTTTGTGATATTATTTGTTGGTACTTAACAGATTTGGATGGCCAGGAAGGTGAGGATTGTGTTTAGCAGCGGTTCGCAAAGCACCGCCTTGGGCAGCAGCGGTCACCCCGCGATGGTAGCATCCGTCGTCTCTCGACCCATCACCCAGGTATATATATTTTATTATTATATTCACAGATACAGTACTTTACTACGCATATTATGAAAAAACATGAAATATTATTTTATCGTCCCTCTATTTGACTCCCTATATAAAAGCCTCTCCTGACTGGTAACATGAGTGTGCGAATTAATGTATACGATTTAAAATAATATTCCGAAAGCAAGTGCTTTTATTATATTTAAGTCATTAAATACCGATCAATTAGTAGAGCAACTTAATGGATTATATATTGTGATCATCAGTATATTAATGAACTTAAATTCGATTGAAACAGAAAATGAAGCAAAGGTTTTAGAATAATACAAGCGTTATATGCTACATAATCCTGATGTTTCGGTTCCTTTGCAACAACCGAGACGAGATGAAAGTGCCAGTTAATCTTCATATTTTCTAGCGTACCGTTATGGATGCATGCAAAATGCATTTACTGCGTCTTAGGTCTTTCGAAGTGGCTACGGGCATTTTGTTGAAAGATTTTATTGAAATATTGTTTCTGTAGAAAAATAAATTTATTGTTTCTGTAAATAAAAAGTATATATTTAAAACATATAACCTTAAAAGATAAAAAAAGGAATTATACTATAAATGAAATTGAAAATTTAGGCAATTTTATGGCCATTGAAAATCTTTGTATTGTCAAAATAAACATTTTCAGCTATGATAAAATATATGCAAAATCCTAATAAAGCTTAAATAATGCTTGAAAAAAACAATATATACACGAAATATATATAAATTATACGTGTCAAAAGTTTTCTTGTAAATATATTGATATTTTAAAGTATGATCAAATTTCCGGAAAGTGTTCGCAATTAATAAAAATATCGCATGAAAGCCCTTACTTTCCTGGTTATATGATACATAAAACTACGAAAACATTTTGCAAACTCTGTATTAAAATTAATTATGTTCATTTTCATCACACCTCCATATATGTATATTGACATGTGTTTTTACCGTACAAAGTGAAAATTTTAAAATGTCGGAAACATTTTGTGACAAAGAGAGACTTTACAACATAACAACATAATATGTTTAATTAATTTTAAATATTTTTATACATAGGTTATCGAAACAGGAGAAGAAGGAAGCCAATTCCTGTATCGAATTACTTGGCCGAGGACGTTGCAATCCAAGAGCAATGCACAACCGCTGTATGAGTAAGTGGACTTATGTGAGTAACTTGAGTGAAAAGTGAAAATTTAATGAGCTTAAGATAATTCCTTGTTGAAAATAAACATATTTGAGTGAAATTAATTTTCACAACAATGGATAATCTAAATCTATTACGTAGCTGTAATTAGTGAAAAAATGTAAATGTTGTATGTTACTTATATATTGTATATATAAAATATTAGGCGACACAGACTCAAAGTATTCTGTAAGTGATATTATATTTGAAAAAATATATACATATATGTATGATACTTATGCCACGACGATGGTTGATTTTTTATATTGTGTCAACCTAGGAAATAACTACTTTTCGCTAAAAAAACAAAAATTCTAAACAAAAAATTGTTTATTATGTCCATATCCATATCCATACATAAATATCAATAATTCGTCTTTAAATGACTACCACTAAAATAATAAGAGAGAACAAAACTTTGTTTGTTCAAGATCGGTAAAGAACTTTAAACGATAATTTAAGTATGAAATTCTTTAGTTCAAAGACTAAAGTTTATTGAGAGATATTATAATTAAATATACAACCCAGACAAACTACGAGTCTAGTTTATAAGTAAATTTTACAATTTATAATGTATAAATATTTAGATTAACTTAAATGAATATCAATGTGTGTTTTATCCATATCAAACGCTATCAGATTTAATCCTTTCTTATAACTTCAACATTGCAGCGAACAAAAAACATTTTTTATAAAAATAGGATTAAAATGTTAGTATTGTTGTCTAATCATGTATATATGTATCATGTATACTTAGATACTTACTTTTTAAATAATAAGTAATTAGCTAATAGATGGGTTGTGATGTCTTTGTCAAAAAAAAATCTACCGATTGTTATTGAAAATAAATGTTCTATATTAGTAAATTATTAACATTAAGCACATTAAGAATTTTTTTAAATTCATACGAGTATAATATTCGGTGCTACATAAATCCTGAAACAATATTTTTTCTTATTATTAATAATTGATGTATCTATTCTAACCAGAATAACTTTAAGCTGTATCTTTAAATAAAATTAAAACAAATTACATCTTAGTAGGTAAGGTCATTTAATAAATAAATTTTATTGTGAATAGTAAAGTTATAAGTAAGAAAATAAACATACCGTTCTGATTACTTAGAAATATGATATAATCCGTCGTTTTCTCCGTCGTAGTTTCTTGAAAATCTAAAGCGTTTAGTTCGCAATAGTCTCGTTGAATTAGTTCAAAAGGTTTAAAAGATTACCGTGAAATATTTTATTATTTGAGTATACACAAACAAAATAAATACAGTATTATTTACGCACAAAAAAATATTGAGCGGACAGTTTCTGTTTGTTAAAATATTTGATGAATGAACAATGTAAAAATTTATGAAATATAATTTAAAGGGAAAAAAGATGTTCTAGATACTAAAAAATGGTCACTATGTCTCCGGGTCCAATAAGCTTTATCACAATCACATAAAAAAGTTCTTGGCGCACAAAACTGATTTTCCTAAAAGTAGCTAAAAGTACACCTAAATATAAAACAAAAGAAAAATGACACTTTTTCAATATGATATTATAAGAACAAACAGAAAGATTTCAAACTAAGACGATCAGCTTAAATAAATAAACCAGCCGTGACAACTATCTTCTACTGTGGATAAAAAAAAGAATAAATTTGAATAAAATTCGATGTGTATAAAGTTTATATTTTATTTCCGATCTTTTATATAATATCAAACAAACTGTGTAATATAAGTAATAAAATAAATTCAGTTCTGAATGTTTTGTGAACATAAGCTATGTTATTTTATAAGCCTCCATATAAATGATTAATAAAAATAAATTCTAGGAAACGTTTACATTTTGTATACACACTGTCACTGAAACGGAGTGTTATTAAGTATTCTAGTTGTATATTGGATTTTAATATAATGTTATCAATTCTATTTGAGTGTTAATTCTGAATATAAAATAGGGTAATATACATATATATGTATTTATTTTACTATTAGGATATGTTTGCTACTTGTTCGGAAGTAAAAATCTTTATAAATGATATACATATTTATACTTCTATATACATATATATTTGTAAATATTAAGCTCTTTATTGAAGGGAAATGATTAAAATACTGTAACTAACACTTAGTATTAACTGTTTATTTAATATTTTCGTGACTAATTAAGACATTTGAAAGTTGTTTAAAAATAAATATTATATGAAGGTATACGTAAAATGCTCAGTACTAATTTAATTAAAATGTTTTTTAATTAGCGCTTAATTTTTTTAATGTACTCTTATTTTGAAAAAAAATACTAATACTTTCCATATTTATTTGGACACTGTATAAATTTTTATATGTAATTCTTACTGTTAAAACATAACTGCTCATCTGAACTAAATTATATTGAAATAAATACGAACATTTTGGAAATGTTTTTAACTATTATTATTAATGTTTTATTTATTTAAAATAGCTTATAGTTATGTGTGTATTAAAATGTAATTTAAAATATTGTAAATGTTTAACAGACGAAATCAATAAATAAAGTGACAAATTTTATATGATTCTATCATTTATTTTGAAATATTCCCATATTGAAGAATTATGTTAAATAATATGTTAAACTAAATAATATATTTCACAACGGTATTAACAAAGTGCAAGTCTAAAAACAAATATACATGTCAAATAAATTATATAGGGTGGCAACCGGAGGTTCCAGGAAAACAACGAAATATACTTATATGTTTATGAAAATACGAATTACATGTTAAAACTTATAACCTATACCTAAGACGATGTTCATTTTTTTTTTCATATTATGTAGCGCATACGTTATACATTTGTTAAAAATAATTATACAGAGGAAACCCAAACCCAAAACAAAAAAAAAAAATATTTTAATAAGAATAATTACACGCTGTTACGGTATTAATACTCTACGGAGTGAAAAGATTTTGAAGGCACTTAATTTTAAACAGTCATATAAAATCACTTATATTGAAATAACTACAATAGTGAGACATGTGGTTGTTGGATACTTTTAGTAGACAATTATATGTTCTATATTTCTCGCTGAGCAAGTCGTATAAGGAATTTTTCATGATTTTTTTTATACCTCGGTTTATTGGATTTTACTTTGGATTATTGTATAGTATATATTTTTTTTAAATATAATATAGCCTATATCTATAAATGAACTATTCAACACTGATATAACTTTTTAAAACGCACTAGCAATTCGTGAGCCTAATATCAGGAATTGCTCAGGAGTTCAAATAAAAAAAGAAACTCTACCGGCGGACAAAAACCTGAAATTCCTCGTATCGAGTACCATGTTATTTCACCAACGCTTGTGTAAATATTGCCAAATTAAGAGAACATCGTCTAAATCTGCTCCGGGGCCCGAATGTATCCCAAATAGAGAGTATAAAAAATGTTTATCGGTTCGTAAACATCTCATAAATATAAACTGTAAAATCTGGTCAAGATAGCAACTCTTCTAGTAATTCGAGAAAGCATTTTCCGTCCTCCTTCCGAAATAAATCGAGTAACTCATCAGAAAAATGCTGATCGATAACCTTACAAACGCCATATCTAAAAGCTTTTTCTCGGTTCTACGAACGAGAATGACATGATTCATGCTCAGCAACAGGTATTTTAGGCTAAATCACGAGAAAGGGTATACCCGGGATTTCTGGATGCCTAGAATACAGCACTTTGTTGTCGGAGAGCTTAAAAGATGGTAGAAAAAGCGAGAGGCAAATTACAGTTTGTTGGATAGACTTAGAGAACGCATTTGGGTTGATACAACATGAATTAATGGTATTCGCGCCAAGATGGTATAAGTTTCCAACACAATTAAATGATATGATCACGTCGTATTACTTAAAATTAAAGTTTTCTATAATAATTAAAGAAGGCCTTTCAAAAACCCTGAATAACAATGTAACAAGACTATTTGAAGGCTGTTTTTTATCGGCAATAATATATAATATTAATTAATAGCTTACTAGATAAACTAATAAACAACGAAAAGTAAGATGGGATTATCGGTTTAAGTCTAATATTAAATACAGGGAATCCATTTTAGCATTCGCTGACGATCTCGCTATACTGACATGTAACCCCAAACACTGTCAAGTACGATTGATTGAAGTGGACAAATTCTGTAAGTAGACGGATATATTGAGGACAAAACTAAATAAATGTCACTGTCTGTGTGTCGGTAGGTGGAATATAGTATATAGCTCATACGATCCGGGATTATCATTAGACGGTCAATGCGTTTCTACGGTTACCGTTACGCTGGCTTTGACAGTGTCACCGGGAGAGAATGATAATTGTATTTATTTATTAGCTGCAAACTTTTTTTAAATTTTCTATCGTGCTAGTTTAGAACCATTTTTTTCTACTTTTCTGTGAAATGTTACGCTGAAAAGTCATCGGAACATTGGGTACAGTAATTAAAATGTAAATATGTACTACATATATAGAAGTCATTACTGAAAATTTTGTTTTAAATGAATACTTTAAAATAAAAGATATTTTATTCGATTTAAAATCCAATATCAGTTTCAGACCGCTTGTTAGTTTTAAATTCAAAAAACTTTTTAACCTCTTTATTAATCATGTTATGTCGCTCTCTTATAATGGAATGAATTTTTTGGAAAGTCGTTGTAAAGTTAATGAGTGTACAGTCTCCCGAACAGGTTTTGATTTCTATGGTGACATTTAAAGGTTATGTTAAAAATTCATGTTATATAGCTAATTTCTGATGTAATATTCATGTGTTTTGATTAAGACGGGTGAAGTAAATTATTACTGCTACAGTTGAAACTAAGTCTACGATATATTTCACTGTAACTAAAATCCATTATATTTTCTGTATTTCTCTTTAAATCTATTTAAGCTTTAATATTTACGCACTGTGCACTCAGCTTGAGATTAATCGTAAAGCATTCGGTTTCAGGAAACGTATTTATCCGCTTT